TTCACGGAGGGCACATAACACAAAGCATTCCAATAATTTTGGCACTTGAAGTAATTTTAACAGGGCTGGCACAAAATCTGAACACGGATTAAATGGATTCGTAAATTGATTCTAGGTAGAATCAATATTAAAGTTAATTAAAAAATTGATTAGAAAATTGATTCTAGGTAGAATCAATATTAAAAAATAGAATTTACAAAAATATTAAAGTTAATCCAAAAAAATTAACATCAAATATTTGGCAAGTAGAAAAATATTCTTGATCTCAATTTGAATAGACTTTAGCAAATTTATTGCCAAGCCGGAAGCTCAGACTTTCGAATCATTTCCAAATCGATTTGCAGCCCTGAAGGAATTGTCACGCTGCGAGTGCCCAAAGCAAGGCTGCATAAATTATGGCCAATGCCGAGTGGAAGTTAATAGACTTTTCGCTATTCCTAATGCAAATACAAGACAGTGGTGGTGGGAGGGGCGAGAGGGTAACATGGCTCGAAGGCCATTGCGAAATCAAAGAAGGAAATGCAAAGAATTTCGCGTAAAATTTAATTACTGACAGAGCTCTGAACTGAACTCTAGCGGAACTGCATCAGAAGACAGGACTCAGAGAAGTTGCAGGCGCCGTCAAGAGTGCGACCCGAGTGTAGTTCAGTTTGGTTTGTTTATGCATATTTCAGGAGGCGAGGCTGCACATTAACAGTTGCAGCAGCAGAAGCAGCAGCAGCAGCAGCAGCAGCAATAGCAGCAGCAGTAGAAGCAGCCATTGTTGTTGCTGCTGCAGCAGTTGTTCAAACAGGGCGGCCAATGCGCTGCCTTAATGACCCTTCGACGTGGCCCGCCCTTTGACCTTATGCCGCGCTTTTAACGAACTTCAAGAGCAACCCGATGGGCAAGTCGTTTGCATATTCATTGGTCAGTCCCACTTTCATCCCAATCCTATTCCCAGCCCCCACCATCTTGCGTTTGCTTTGAGTGTAAATATTCCAAGCACTTTATACAATTCATTAATTTACATTACAAGAGTTCTAGAATTTCGCACTGCTACAAACGCATTTTGCATCAGCGAAAACAACCAGCAAAACAATCATGCAATGTAAATTTGAGTGCGGAGTCGTCAAAATGTAATAAAGATTGAGATACGATTCGAATTACCCAACTAAGAAGCAAGTTAAGGAATCGAATACCTTTGAAGACACCTTCCCTTAACTTTGTGTAAACTCTCTAGTATACAAAAAACTCATAAGAACAAACAACTTAACTTAATTGGAATATAATACAAGAATAATATTGCCAGATTTAAATGCCAAATTCATCTAGAGGTCAAACCATAAACAAAAAGACAATGCTTTTGAAAATCGGATGAGTTTTGACCGAGTTATGGGGGTGGGAAATTTCGACCTATATCTATATAGGATATTTGAGGATACCATTTTCACATGAATTTCGACACAAAATGATGTTGTCAGATTTGGATGCCTAATTGATCTAGAGGTCAAACCATGAACAAAAAGACAAAGCATATGAAAATCGGATGAGTTTTGACCGAGTTATGGAAGAGGCAAATTTCGACCTATGTATAAGATATTTCAGGGGAACCATTTTCACATGAATTTCGACCAAAAATAATGTTGTCAGATTTGGATGCCAAATTGTTCTAGAGGTCAAACCGTGAACAAGAAGACAAAGCTTATGAAAATCGTATGAGTTTTGACCGAGTTATGGAGGTGGGAAAATTCGACCTATGTCTAATAGGATATTTGAGGATACCATTTTCACATGAATTTCGACCAAAAATAATGTTGTCAGATTTGGATGCCAAATTGATCTAGAGGTCAAATAATGAACAAAAAGACAAAGCTTATGAAAATCGGATGAGTTTTGACTGAGTTATGGAGGTGGGAAATTTCGACCTATATCTATATAGAATATTTCAGGGGAACCATTTTCACATGAATTTCGACCAAAAATAATGTTGTCAGATTTGGATGCCAAATTGATATAGAGGTCAAACCATGAACAAAAAGACAAAGCTTATGAAAATCGGATGAGTTTTGACCCAGTTATGGAGGTGGAAAAAATCGACCTATATCTATATAGAATATTTCAGGGGAACCATTTTCACATGAATTTCGACCAAAAATAATGTTGGCAGATTTGGATGCCAAATTGATCTTGAGGTCAAACCATGAACAAAAAGACAAAGCTTATGAAAATCGGATGAGTTTTGACCAAGTATTGGAGGTAGGAAATTTCGACCTACGTCTATATAGGATATTTCAGGGGAACCATTTTCACATGAATTTCGACCAAAAATAATGTTGTCTGATTTGGATGCCAAATTGATCTAGAAGTCAAACCATGAACAAAAAGACAAAGCTTTTGAAAATCGGATGAGTTTTGACCAAGTTATGGAGGTAGGAAATTTCGACCTATATCTATATAAGATATTTCAGGGAAACCATTTTCACATGAATTTCGACCAAAGAGAATGTTGACAGATTTGGATGCCAAATGGATCTAGAGGTCAAACCGTGAACAAAAAGACAAAGCCTTTGAAAATCGGATGAGTTTTGACCGAGTTATGGAGGTAGGAAATTTCGACCTATGTCTATATAGGATATTTGAGGATACCATTTTCACATGAATTTCGACCAAATAAATGTTGTCAGATTTGGATGCCAAATTGATCTAAAGGTCAAACCATGAATAAAGAGACAAAGCTTATGGAAATCGGATGAGTTTTGACCGAGTTATGGAGGTGGGAAAGTTCGGCCTATGTCTATATAGGATATTTGAGGATACCATTTTCACATGAATTTCGACCAGAAAAAATTTGTCAGATTTGGATGCCAAATTGATCTAGAGGTCAAACCATGAACAAAAAGACAAAGCTTTTGAAAATCGGATGAGTTTTGACCAAGTTATGGAGGTGGAAAAAATCGACCTATGTCTATATAGGATATTGCAAGGGAACCATTTTCACATGAACTTCGACCAAAAATAATGTTGTCGGATTTGGTTGCCAAATTGTTCTAGATGTCAAATAATGAACAAAAAACAAAGCTTATGAAAATCAGATAAGTTTTGACCGAGGTATGGAGGTAGGAAATTTCGACCTATGTCTATATAGGATATTTGAGGATACCATTTTCACATGAATTTCGACCAAAAATAATGTTGGCAGATTTGGATGCCAAATTGTTCAACAGGTCAGACCATGAACAAAAAGGCAAAGCTTATGAAAATCGGATGAGTTTTGACCGAGGTATGAAGGTGGGAAATTTCGACCTTTGTCTATATAGGATATTTGAGGATACCTAATAGTTTTTTCTTTTTTAGTTTCCAAAGCCGCTTGAAAACTAAAATATTTCTTTGAAGCTATTTTAAAATCGAAATATTTGCAATATTTTCAAATTGAACCTTGAAAAACGTAAAATCCAAATTTGCATAAGAGACAAAGTATTCCCATTTCGAACTGTGATATAATTGAGACCCAAATTTCAACAAGCATTTATTGATATTGATTACACACACACGAACACACACACAGATGCAAACACACACACACACACACACACACACACTGGCAAGCGCATGCAATCATTTTAAGCAATTTCCTACTGTATTTTGCATAGAGCGGTTCGGATTTTTGGTCGGGGCGGGGCACACATTTTGCAGCTGAGCCAAAAAGTATGCTACAACGTTTTTGATTTATATAGAGATTGATGCAGAAGGTGTTTTAGCACATCAGCACACAAATTAAGCAGAAAATAACAATAACAACAAGCAGTGAAAATGAAAACTCATGATGGTCATCATTCCAAGCTAAATGCCTCGCCCATTGCCCGGTAATTGCCAACAAGAGCAACAACAACAAACACGTATGAGTGCTGCAGCCGGGAATGTCCTCCTACCAAATACCCTAAACGCATTTTGGCTACCTTTTTAACATACACACGGAAACATATACAAATATATACATATACAAAGGAAGCACGTACGCACTTTATGCAGCTCGCTCTACTTCTGCTTCCCTATGGACCTTGACATGTAAGGGGAAATGCATTCTTGATTACCTTCGGTGCTTGTGATCCGATTCTTATGAGGTCTAAAGAGATTGTGTGTGCATATGTCAAACCTATAGAGAAGCTATATTTTTGTATATATCTGTGTATATCTTTGGTGTACATAGCTCTCTTTTTCTCTGTGACTCACAAGCTCATTCTGCCAGTTAAGCTGAATATATATAGGAGAATATATATTGGAGAATATATATAGGAGAATATATATTGGAGAATATTTATAGGAGAATATATATAGGAAAATATATATAGGAGAATATAAATAGGAGAATATATATGGGAGAATATATATAGGAGAATATATAGAGGAGAATATTTATAGGAGAATATGTATAGGAGTATATATACATATAGGAGAATATATATATTACAGATTTCACATTTCAAGCATCTGTAATTTCCGAATAGACCTGTTCAGACGGACTCGGTTCGATCGACTCGTCCGGAGTCGCAGCTGCCTCATCTTGCCTGTTACATTCATTGCCACAAAATCATCATACCCATTCTCAATGGGTGCAGGGTATAACAGCAAAAACAACGAACAAGCAAGCACAACAAATGCCTTTGCTTTCTGCTGTCTGCGCTGTTTCAGTTGCAATTTTCCATTTGCAGTGTTTAATGGAAAAATCAAGCCATCAGTTTTTCAGCTGCCCATAGTGCTTATGTTGCGCCCAACCCCCCTCCCCTCCTTTCGTCCCCCGCTACCCGGCAACATTTCTGTCTCTGCTAATTGCAACAACAATTGCAATGCACTAACTGAATCTGAAGGCAAGAGAGAACTAGGCCATAGCCGAACATGGCCAGAGCGCTGCCACTGAAAGCTGTACCCGCCCACAACCCACCGCCCACCGCCCATCGCCCAGCAGCTGCGGGGCGTTGGGATAACAAGCAGGGTGCAAATTTTACAAATTATAATCGTCATTTGTCATGATGCTGCTCAGCAAGGACTCAGGGTGTGGCCGCTCGCCTCAGCGCCCGGGCTGGTGTGTGTGCCCAGGACAGGCCTTCACCCACATCGCATTTTTATTGACACATTGAAATGACAAGGGACACGAAGACAGAGACAGAGACAGAGCAATAGAGATGAAGACGGACAACGACAGCGCCAGTCACGACTGATGATGAGCAGCAGTAAGAAAACTGAATTAGCAATTCACTTAAGCGCTTCGTTTCTGGCCTTAATCTCGTTCAGGCACGTCGCCGGCAACGCACTCCAAAGATTTCCAGACCCGGACGGCATTGCTGCAGCGTATCGAACAGCATGCCGCCGAATGCATCGCGCATTGTCATGCTCAGATCCTCGACATGTCCGATGTCGCAGTACGCCATCAGACCGTTGCCCAGCAGCGACTCGCAGGACGTGCCCGCCACCAGCTGCGGTTCGTAACGGTAGACGGCGACACACAGACGCACCTGCTGACGTTGCAGCAGCAGCGGTATCATCGCTCGCCAGTTCACCTGCGACAAATCCAAGTCATCCTCCAGCAGTGCCATCAGCTCATTGTGCTCCAAACGTTGTTCGGGGATCTGCACAAATTCCAGCCGATGGCCATGCCAAAGGCAGCTGAGCAGCAAGAGCTGAAGGCAGGCACCAGGCGGGGCTAACTGCATTTTTAATAGATATTTTTCCCCAATTTTCTTGCACTATTCAAATTTCTTTTCTTGCTGCGCAAATTTATGCAGCAATTAAAATCGCGTTTGTACGAATCGAAGCTTGAACACAAACTGTGCGCTGCCGCAGACAACTACGTGACTCTATACGCTCGAGAGTCGGGAGCGGGAGTCTTATTAAGTCGGGTAGAATTGGATTTTGCTGACGTGTGTGGCCCGGCACGACGATTGTAAATAAACCAAACTGCGTCAGTTCGGCAGAGTCGAGTTCTAGTTGATAAGTAGCTGGCGGAAAAGACAAAATCCAAGCTTGCTTTAAGACCGAAAACAACTTAAAGTGCTCTAATCGGGTGTGCTTGACGAGCAGATACCCTATACACAGCGCTGAGCTGCCTTTTAGCTTCCCTTTGCCTTATATTTCAAATTTCAAGTCTCTAGCTTTTATATTTCTCGAGATCGATGCGTTCACACAGATGGAGGGACAGACCCAGGCGGAAAAAGAAAGACTCAGCGGAATCCGGGTCAAGAGTACACTATAATATTTATTTAATTCTTATTCTATTATATAATAGTTTTCAATCTCTTCAATAATCCAAAGAGCATTTAATAGTCGTTTACTCGCCTAACATACTTTCTCTTTTAACTAAATCAAAAAGTTTTCCGATTCAAATGCAATTTCATGTTTCATTTAACGAATCGCAAGACTTTATTTGAATTCAAAAATTTTGCAATGCGAATGTTTAATGTTTAGCTTGGTTTTAATTTCTAGCTGCCAGCCGGGCTACGTGACTGTCGAACGGTTTCAAATGCAGCACGTGGCAGGCCGCTGCGGCATAACAAACTTTTATTTGCCCATTGATGACGCGCAGTCGACGCAAGCGACGACAACATTTGCAAGAATGTAGAAAAAACTAATTCCTTTAAAGCTTACATTTTAGAGCAACTATATTTTGAGCAATGAAGAAATTGAAGGAGTTTTCCAAACTGTTTTTATAATAAACTCGAAATGGGGGATATCTTCGGCATTAATAGACACTTCCCTTTTGCAGATATGTAAGAATTGTGCAGCTCGCAAATGCTGAGTTTGTGGAAATATCTTTGAAAACAGAATATTTTCCCTTATAAGATCCTACTAAGTATTCTATCAATCTTTCCTAATGCAGCTGTATGATATAGTGGTGCGATAGCTAATTATTATTAATTTATTATTATTAGTAATTTATGATTGTATTTTGCATATATTTGAGAATCATAATGGAGCTAATAAATCCCAAGTTTGTTCAAGTTATATTAAAGCAAAGAAAGGTTTCCAAATCGGAACCAACTTTTCGACCGATCGTTCCTATGGAAGCTATATGATATAGTGGGCCGATGTTGATAGGATTTTGTATATATACGAGGAGCATAGTAAAACTAATTAATGCCGAGTTTGGTCAAGATATCTTGATAAACGAAAAAGTTTTTCATCCAAGAACCTACTTTTCAAACGATAGTTTTTATGGCAGCTATATGATATAGTTTTCCGATTCAGCCGATTTCGGTACTCAAGTACTGCGTGCAACAGAAAGACAGGCCGATGCAAAGTTTCATGAATATAGCTTTAACACTGAGGGACTAGTTCGCATAGAAACAGACGGACGAAGAGACAGACAGATGGACATGCCTATATAAAAAAGAAGAAAAAAACTGGTCTGCTGATCAAGAATATATATACTTCTTCTACGCTTAACACATTTCATAACAAAATTATAATACCCTCTAGCAGAGTAAATAGTATGGGAAAGATTCTTAAGGAATTTAATAAAAAAGGTGTTTCAATATTATAAAACAATTTTTAGACTTGATCTAAATATTCAGAAAAATGAGAAATATTTAAATAGACATTTACATAAATATCAATTGAGCATTTCTTCATGACATGTTTGATAATAATAAATTTGTATAAAAGTGCACTCAATTATGCATTTTATGTCGCTTAATTTTCAATTCAGTAACAAATTTTTTATCAATTTAAAATAAACGTAAATAATTGAGCAAAAATCAAAGGCAAAGCGCGCAAATATCGGATAAAATTAAAAAAATATCATATAATATATTTTTAGAACTTTTTTTGGCAAATGGAAATAAAATGAAACATTTCTGAGAGCAACAGCTGCGAAATAATATTTGCATAGAGTTTTTTGGCGAACCCATAAATCGTGGGCAAAAAGTCAAACTAATAAATGTCCGAAGGACACGCCGAGAGACGCATTACACAACTAATTGGAGCCGGAATCGGGATCAGGCTGGATATGGCAGCAGCTGTTGTCCGGAAAGGGGCGAAACGTGCCAGTAAAATAACAAAAATAAAAAGAAATAAAACCCCAATTCGAAAGGATATATGTAAAAAGCAGACGAACATTTAAATTATAATTTTTTAATAATAATAAAACAAACAAAGCTGCAAGTTCAGCTAGCGTCGACATTGTGCGGTTGCGTTGGGGTCCACAAAATGGCGCAGCGGCCATTTGCCGTTTGGCCGGAAACAAATTACAGCAAACAATTTAAAAAATGTTTGCAAACAACAAACAGGAACTACAAAAATAAACTACACAAAAAGCAGGCAGGCAGGCGGGCAGACGGGCAGACGGAAACGTTATCTAGGCAATGGAAGAGAGACGGACGGACAGACAGAAGAGACAGCCGGAACGACGAACTCTGGGCCAAAGAGCAGAGCGCCCAAGATAAAAGTCGCTTTCAGTGCCAGAGACGATGTCCTGACGCCAGTTCCTGCCGGAGAGTCCAGCTCCAGCTCCAGCTCGAGCTTCTCCTCGTTGCGGTGCTGCTTTTAACCTTTTCTGTTTCACTTAGTTAAGCAAAAAATGAAATTTTTATTGCCAAAATGCATAAATGAATAGAAAATAGTTGCACAAACCAAAACACAGCACAAAACCCACAGCAAAACTGAAGAGCCAGCCCAGTCTGCACACACACACACACACACACACACACACACAGATACACACACATACCACACACAACCTTAGCCCACATGCGGCACACTCTTTGATTTCGTTTTTTCTGCTGCCCTCTGCGCTATTTGTGGACTCTCAAAGCGTGCTACGTGCCACACCTAGGCAAAATGTTAACCTCAGCACTAAATTTGAACTCGTCTAATAACTTGGACTGTTTGTTTGTTTTTCATAACTTTGCGATGCGCTAGCAAAGGGTATATTAGCTTTGGCTTGCGATATGCAACTAAAAAGCAACATGGCAAAAGCAAACAATGTCAACATCTACTTAGCCAGCTTCGGGTTCGAGCTTTTTTTTTATCATAAATACTTATATTTAAATAAACAGATTGTTTCTGAATTTATACATGTAAAAAACTTAGAAAAAAATGAATCAATTAAAAAACATGAATTCTATTCAGTTTAATGTTCGCATCTTCTTCAGCCAAATAATCCGATTTAATTTTCGACTTATGACTAAGAAAAGATTTGAATCGGTTCGGTGTAAGCCAAGTTAAAAGCCTTGGTGATAGGTTTGAACCCAAAACTTAAATATTATTTATAATTATAAATATATATTTTTTAAAATATTATATCTTTTATATACATATTTTATTACTATCACCCGAACCTTAAGCCGAATTGGCTTTCCCAAAGAAAAAGTTGAAGCTGGACTGTATTTAAAAATAAAAAGTGGGAAGCACAAAGAAAAGTTTAGATTTTCAATGGATAGACATATAATGCACAGTTCTTCTCAGAAAACATGCCTAAAAAAGTTGACTAAAATATATTTTTCATAATGTTTGTATATATTTAACAGTAGACATTATCAGTAGGAATAGCTTTACATAGGGTATTTTTGGATCGGCTTCTGTAGTCAACTTTTTTTTGTCTAGTTATTGCGCCTTGTTTCAGCTCGTTTGTGAGTTAAGCCAGGAATATTTTTCCCTTTGTTGTTTTGTTTTGCAATGATTTAGACATTAGATGGGGGGCGTGGCACATGAAGTTGCAGCACAGCCTCCAATCAGGCTACTTGCCACTTGCCACTTGCAACACTCTGCCGCACCCTGCTCATCAGGCACATGCGTAACTTTTTGCAACATTTCAATTAACAAATAATAAACAAGCTGGCAACAAAAAGCGCCTAAAAACACACGAAACTTGCAGTGCCCAGAAAAAAAGTAAGGAAAAAACAACAGAAAAAAACTTGTTTCGTAAGCAAATCAGAAAGTCATCAGAGTGCCAAAAATAGGCAAACGCTCCAAAGCCAATTTGCATTCGGGCCAATGAAGAGTTAGGTCCAAAGGCAAGTTAGCCGAGCCTGCTTGCCTGCTTGCTTGCCAGAGCCTGCTCACATTGCTTGCGCACTTTAAAAGTAATTTATCCTTTTATATACCCTATAGACAGTGGAGATAGGGGATGATGGTACTGTGAAAATGCATGGTACAGGCTGACAGCTGCGACTCCGTAAGCAGAAATGCGCGCTGAGCTGATCTAGTCATGTTTATCCGTCAGTTTCTGTAAGTTATTCTAAGATCGATAAATATCGATTTTGAAATTCGAGTTTTTGACCTATATATAGAAGGCAGCTAATAAGAGATTGTGCCACAAAATTGTGAGCTTTTCTATGATCGATAAATATCGATTTTAAAATTCGGGCTTTTGACATATCGAGACGACATGTAATAAGAGATTGTGCCACAAAGTTCCAACTTTTTGGTATAAATACACAATTTAAATATAATCTTTACGCCCTAAAATTTGCATAGATATTGAACAGGAATCACAGAAGTTTTTATAGAATATTTATAGAATAAAATAGAAAAAATAAAACTGCGGAAGTTCAAATGCTTGCTGCAAGAGCTCGAAATTGGGTACAGGGTATCAGCTAGTTGATCACACTGAATTAACGCACAGTTACTTGTCTTTTTTTGTCCAATTTCGGGACTCAACATGGCATTTGCATAAAACTTGCATGTGCCTCAAGTCCCGTTGGCATAAAATCCACTTTGTTGGCAGCAGCATTAAAAACTGCAACTGTCTCTTGTTGTTGT